AATCCTACAAATTTGACTTCTTTTGAGACGAGGAATAGAATGTGGGAGGCCTGGAGCCAGGAGGTCAGGCTTTGTTGGACCACTGCCTGGCTTCTGTGGGTGAAACCTAGGAATTTCTGCAAAAAAAAATTAGATTTAGAGAAAGTGTCAAAATATAAAGGAAAAAGGAAAAAGAAAACACTTTGATGGAATTTTTCTGACCAGTTCTATGTCGCCCTGCAACTAATTTTATCCTTGTGGGCAGTTCAACTTCCAGATGGTTCCTAAATGTGTTGGAATTGCAGCTACGTCGTGGCAGACCTAAGACTGCCATGGAATATAACCAAAACATTGGCCATCTCATTTCTAGCACAGCACATACAAGCACTTTTCTGGGCAGAAGTAATTCAAAACTTGGGAACCCATAATCTTTTGAAAGATAGAAAATGCTCCTGTCACACACCACCATGGGGTAAGAAACAAGCAATTAAAACTGAAACCCCCAGCCCCCCCCCAGGAAGCTGTGTAGGCTTTCCTAGAGGAAAACATAATTCACACAAGTGGCATAATTGTACCACAGGAAATAACTACTTTTCTGTGTTCATTCACTCAGAAAGGAGAAAATGGAAGTCACTCGAGCTAATCCGTTTTAGACTTGCACAGCCTGCCTTCTAGCATGGTGGATCTGGTTTTTTACTGCCAATTGTGAATGCTGCTAAACTATCACCTTGAAAGCTGTTTTTAATTTGGACGCATGGAGCCTACGCGCACTATCACAAATGCAAAATGCCCTTCTCGCACGTTTGCAGTACTCCTCGCACTGTGTTTAGCTTTCAGATAGCTGAAGATATTTTGCTTCTGATGTGAGAAGCACTTACGTTTCTTAGAAAGGAACTCGTGGAAGGGAACTCATAGGGGAATGTGAAATACTGGATGGGTTAGTTAAAGCCAATTAGGCTCTCCGGTTCATCCTGAAAAATAACACCCGAATAATGGGGAAGCTGGAACAGATGTTCCACACAGCGCAACAGGAAGAGAAGTGCATTAAAAACAAGTATGTGCTGTGGAATTTTTATGCAATTGAGAACCCAGGTAAATATTTTAAGGAGTTAAAGCATATAAATATGATTTACCTTTTTTGGTTTGGCTCATTTGATTTGGAGTAATAACAAGACTCCTATTGCCCCAGAATTACCTCTAATAAAATCACAGGGCATTTAAAGGCACAGGCTCTGAGAGAGAGAAAACCATTCGCAGTACTACACTACATCCCTGTAAGTAGTTTCATCCACAGTGACAGGGCTCCTGGTGGAGTAAGGTGCTCCCCATTACCGGTAACAACCTTGGGTGAGGAGCACGCAGGACAAGAGTAGCTGAGCTAGTTCACTGGGGTTTCACTCCCATCGCTCTCTGTCACATGCACAAAACAACCTTCCGTTACGGCTGTCGTGAAAGACATTAAAGCTGTTCAGCACTCGATGAACATACCAAGAAATCATTCCATGTTCTCCTGAAAAGTCACGTCTCATCTAAGCTACTGTTAAGATATAGAAAACAACAGAGACCATCTGCTTCGTTGGTCAGCTTTCTCCATGCAGTGCGCCGGTCTCATGTTAGCAGAGAAGGATAACAGCACCTGGCTACTCAGAGATGAAACCCTGGCCCTGCTGACAAGGCTGGCCCAAGGATCTACCTGGAAACCATCTCCTGCCAATGACTACCTTAGCCCTTCAAAAACTCTCCTGTCTAGACAAACATCACTTGAACCATATTCCTACAGACTGACTGTGTTCCTTCAGGATCCAAGCATTTACTGAAGCTCATCCAGTTTCCTAGAAACATCTTACAGTAAAAAATACAGACATTTTGAAAAAGTCAAACTCAGCTTGTTTTGACCTGATGGAAGGAAATATTTCTACTTCACATTTTGAAATGATTTTGTCTTAAAGGTATTGCACAATCAACCTTAAAAGTCAAAATTAAAAATTTTACATTCGGTGAAACCTATTAAATGATCTTAGGGAAAAAAGAAGAAAATTAAAGGAGATAGTAGTTTGTTTTTTTTTTTAAACAGAATTTCAAATTTTTTTGTTTCACTTTGATACAGAACTAAGCCAATTTTGAAATCTGAAGGTTTCCCATATGGAACTTTCTCCACCACCGAGCTCTGCTCAGGAAGAGCACTTCACAGTGCTTGACGTGTGGCATCTCGCTAGAGAACCCAGGAATTAAATTCAACTGTTTTGGGCATTTCATAATCCTCATCTAGACCATCAATACTCCTTCATTTTTGATGCT